TTTATCCTTTGTGCGCTAGATGCGTTTGTAGCTTGCTGCGGAGTTAAGGGTGGATTCCGCTGCGTCTTGACAACGCAATTTGTGCTTTATTTCGTACTCTGAGAATGCGATTCACCTTGTAGCGCCGAGACAGAAATACAAATGCTCGAACCGACGAAACTCAGTCTATACGCGAAATTGGTGGATCAAAGTTGTTTTATCCACTTTTACATTTTACTGGATCCATCCGGTATGCGATTTAGTGTTTGTCTTCGTTATACGCCTCCGCGGCAAAAACAAACACCCCGCAAAGTTTCACCCTAATTGGATGAGTTCTTTTGTCCTATAGATTAAAATAACGGAAGGATTAGACCGTGTTCGATGTTCAAAGATCCCGTTTGAATTTGGAAACGTGCGTTCGGATTTTGAATTTTGACGCAGTGCTGGTGCAATGTAAATAAAAAGTCGGTGCGCTGTTTACGTGACATTTTTATGAGTTTCGCTGTGAAATTCTCGATATGAGCTTGAAGAGGTAAATATTTAAGCACACGTAATAAGGACAAAGGTATTTTATAGAAAATTCCTTTTTTTAGTATACGCTTTTCTTTAGGAAAAAAGATATTTAATTTTTATTAAAATACATCCATTTCTATAATATTAATACTCAAGCAATAAAACTGTCAATAGTCGGTACAGAAAATTCTTAATTTAAACACAAACAGAGCATTAAGCCTTGTAGTTTACCCGAGTACACATTTAAATAAAAAACTTTTAAATTTGTATAAATTAAAAACAAGAAAACTAATAAATTTGTTTAAAATTATAATTTTATAAAAAATAATAATAATGCCCCGCGTTACGGTTCGAAGAAATCCTTTGAAAGCTTTACTGTAAACGATTGTAAATGTTTTATTCCAAAACCTTGTTATCTGGACATGTCAAATTATAAATTTAATTAGAAACGTGTGATTTACACACACTTAACAAACCCAGTGTACATATAATAATATAATTTATCGTAATTTTTATGTTAAATCTTTGTCCGTATTAGTTACATATTTAATATTATTACCCATAAAGGAGGTCAAATCAAATGTTAGGTTCACAAAAAAAAATCATTCTTCTCCATATTCAAAGTAAAGAATCCAAAAGTCTATATTCTTATGTCTGATTAATTTAATTATTTATTTATTACATACTTTAACAAACCGTGTCACGAATTTGAATTTTTAATATATTTGACTGGCTCGTAATGGTAGCACTGTATAGCTAAAAATCTACGGGCCGTGGTTTCGATTTATCTTATTTGTCAGACAAAGTGTATTTGTAAGAAAAAGAAGAACAAAGTGATTTTGAATTCTGCTTCCCTGAAGACACATTTTTGAGTCCGTTGCGTCGTTTGATATTATATATATGACTTTGAAATAAGAAAATGATATACAACCTTCACTCTTCTCACATAGACATTGCATTATTTATAATCAAGGGGTCGTGAGTCTAACATTTTTCTAATCCATTTATAATTTTTAAAAAACATGTTGGACTTCGACAGTATTGTAATTGGTGGTAGGGATAGGGAATTTCCGTCTGGGACACGAACCATCTTAGGTAAAAAAGAACCGAGAAACAACCACTTTTCGGTTTAAATCTATAGATTTCAGAATATCCAAAGCCACACGATGTCAACTGCGCATTTCGTTGAGATGTTATATGGCTGGGATATTTCATCTACCATTAAGTGAACTTCATGCTTGTCTACCTCTATCATTAAAAAAAATACATTCTAATATGCGTTAGATAAATTACCCCTTACTAAAGGTCAAGAAAAGATCGACTTTACTTTTTTTCAGCACAAGTATTTTAATATTTTTCACATGTTACACATGATGGCATTATGTAAATTAAGAATCTTTGTCGATTGAGAGAATTTCACGACACGGACGGGACTAGAAGCGGCATCCACTCTAATTGAGCTAATGTGTCATTACTTCCGGCGTTTTGCCTTTCATCAGCATTAAAATCATTAACAACTAGCTATGTCAGCGACTTCGCCTGCGTAGACCACAAACAATCATTCATCTATATAAATTTAGGTAGCCTACGACGTCAATCGCGTCCCGTCGTTCGTACAATACCTTGTAACCTGGTAACTTGAACCGTTTTCGCAGCGTTCGCATTGGAAATCCACAAAGATGATGACTGTTCCTTTTTTTCAAATTTCCCGCTATTTCGGTCTTATTAGTCACGGCGATTTATAACCTTATAGCCTCCTCGATAAATGCTCGAGTGAGTTTTTCAACTCGAACCAGTAGTTCCTGAGATTAGAACAAACAAATACTGTCTATAGTTTACGCGAGTAGTACACATTTAAATAAAACACTTTAACGGTTTAAAACGCGATATATTAGTTAAACTTATTTGAAAATGATTCTTAACTTCGGCCCGACGTTTCGGATGCTTTGCAGCAGCCGTGGTCACGGGGAGAGTCTCCCCGTGACCACGGCTTTCACGGCACGTGAAATAAGTTTAACTAATATATCGCGTTTTAAACCGTTAAAGTGTTTTATTTAAATAGAACAAACAAACAAACTCTTCAGCTTTATATATCATGTATAGATAAGAAGTATATGACTAATGTACAAACAGTAGGTATTCATGTAAATAAAACTATTTTAACAGTTTTAACCTATAAAATAAGAGCTCTATAATTACAACGTGGAAACGCGGATTCAAAGTTTAATAACGACTTCGCAATTCTGAAAGTTTCAAAACGAGCCTGGTTTCAAACTAATGCTTCAGCGGTACATTATGGGAATTGTAGTTTAATCGTACATTTTCAGATCTGAACAAGTTGTAATACTGTGAAATTTACAGATGGTAATAACAATAACGGTTTCAAACGCGATAAATATTAGTAACAATAATTTGAAAATTATTTTAACTACGGCCCGACGATTCGGATGCTTTTGAGCAGCCGTGGTCACGGCGGGAGATATTGTTAGAGTGTTTTATTTAAATGCATCCTGTTTAAATGGTATACGGCTTATGTATGTCACCTGCCATCAAGTCTACCGTATGCGCGTCCGTCCTCCTCAATTATAAACACCCGTTTACCCTACGTATAGAATAGATCGGATTCATTTATGTGTCCGTTTTACTCGTTACTTACACTGCCCAAATGAAATGTCCCATGATTCGGATCCAGGCGATCACACGCTTATAGTTACTCGGTGGTTTAATTAAGTACTTATTTGTCTATAGTTTACGCGAGTAGTACACATTTAAATGAAACACTAACGGTTTAAAACGTATCCCCGTGACCACAGCTGCTGCTAAGCATCCGAAACGTCGGGCCTAAGTTGAAAATAATTTTCAAATAAGTTTAACTAATATATCGCGTTTTAAACAGTCAAAGTGTTTTATTTAAATATCTTTTTGTATTTAAATTTATTTATATCTTACTAACATTGTACTAAATTTATTTATACTAATATATAGAGCTTAGGAGTATTTTTGTGTTTGTTAGAACATTTATCGAGGAGGGCTATAGGTCAACAAATCGCGATGTAACTAGTACGAGCGAAGATACAGCGAGAAACGTGAAAAAATGAGTAAATTATTCAGCATTATTGGTTTCCGAGGTGTACTTTCACTGCAAAAATGGTTCAATATACCCAAAATATTTATTTAAAAAAAGTCAGCAACAGTATACGTCTATCTTTTAAGATTAACTTGCAAGAACGATGGAAAGGTACGCAACCGAAGTCGCGGGTAACAGCTTAAGTTTATAAAGATGAAGGGGTTTGCAACGAATTTAGATGCCCAAGATAACGATTCTCGCGGACGAAGTCGCTGACACAGCTAGGTCTATAAAAATGTAAACAAAGAAACAAACATACAATGCCCTAGATCTCACTTTTTTGATCTATAAAAAAAGTATAATAAACGGCCTCCATATCTTCATGGTCAAACGCCTTATTTAACATTGCTGATTAAGTGTTATTGCCGGTTTGAAACCCGGAGAAGCAATAAATCGTTTTGGTCAGACAGGACATAGAAATCTGATAAAGTATAGATAAAAATATGTCGCCGATGTTCACTCTTTTATGATTGGACAATTACTAATGCTACATAATATTTGAAAATATTGTTAGCAAAACAATGAATTACTAAAGTGTACTCGAGTAGCACACATTTATATACAGCACTTTAACGGTTTAAAACATGGGGACACTATATGTGACAATCGCTGCTGCAAAGCATCTGAAACGTCGGGCCGTAGTTAAACTAAGTTTAACTAATACAAATCGCGTTTCTAACTGTAAAAGTGTATTATTCAAACAAAAGATTTACGAGTAGTACAGAAGTTTTTAACGAGTTTCTTTTTATCAAGAATCAAACTTGCGACTTGTGTAAATGTCGAATATGCTTATCATTTATAACAGCCATTATAATAATTCTAGTTTTATCTTTTGCACTGTCAAAATTTGAACTAAAGCTAACCTGTTATCTGGGTATAGCACCCTCATGGGAAATACGGGAAAATCCGCGTGGAAAATCCAAGAGCTAATATCCCCAAAGCTAATGACCATTGAAAATTATGGCTTTACCACAACCAAGCTGATGGGCTTCTGCTTTGAATTCTAAACTCATTCAATGCATGCATAATGCATAATGCTGTAGTCTGATATAATCGCTATAAATCTGGATAACTATTTATCATTGCAAAAATAATAATAATAAGCCCAAGCCTGTGTATAGGTAAAATTTTTCACTGTCACAGGTACCCCAAGGATGAAATAACCAATAAAAAATAAATCATATTTTGAGGACAAACTTCAACTCTATAATGTATGCTTGACATGCTATAAGTTTAAGAAGACATTAAACCTTATGATTAAATAAAACACTTCTAACGGTTTAGTTCGCGAATTATAGTTCTCCGCGACCAAGATTGTTCTAAAAGCCGAAATATTGGCGTGTAGATAAAACTGTTTCATTTAAGTCTTAATTTGTTACAGGGCTGATTCAACCGCCACAGATGGCGGTAGCATTCGAGAAAAGGGAATGAGTCGTCTCAACGGGTTCTTAAATTTGAAGACACCACTCATAAGCACTAAGACTTTGGGGTAAGTTTTAGTTTCTAAGTCTTTTTTTTAATAGAGAAGAACAGATATTATATAACTGTCTCTTCCCCGCAATCGTATACAAAGAATAAGGGCAATGAATTAAACTCACAATTACATAAACAAAAATACGTTACTCGTTCTTCCCTTTGTTACTTTTAATTTTAAGTCTTTCTTATCACTTAATTCTTTGATTTTTTTAAATTTGATTTTGATTATCTAAAATATTCTTATATTTATTATTTATGAAGTGCGTGTTTTAAACTCTAAAACACTGTTTATTTCGTGTAACTTTCGCGTAAGTAGATTATAATCTGATCGAAAAATAATAATGATTAAACTATGAAGTCTTACAATAAATTACTATTTAAGTAATAAATAATGACTTGAAGTACGCTAATGTGTTTATAAATCATATATTTTGGTCTGTTTATCTTTTGTCCATATTATAGTATTATATAATTGTACCATATTTATGTAACTGACATTTCTTTTTAAAATAAACTGCAGTATTTCTCCAAATAATCACACAACTAAACACATTATATTATGTATTCGCGTACTTAACAATAATATTGGAAGTAAGCGCCATCTAGAAAATTTTGTAGGAACCTTTTTGGTTTGCTAAAGCATAAGCTACGTTTAATTGTCGCAGTAAGTATAAGCCTAAGTGTTCTTAATATTTTTGATAGATGGCGCATAACGTAACTTTTTAAGAGTGAAAATGTAAGAATAATTTACAATTAAACGAAATTTACAAGGATAATAAAACAATTAACTGGAACATTTTATATGATTTTTAAAATAAAATTTAACTTCTGAAAATAAAGTTCACGTTTGATCTTTCACCTACGTAAAAACATTTAATTAAACAGGTATATTAACTCAGCATGTTATTGTGTCTCATATAAATCCTGAACGCCGTTCTTCTTTGTTATAACTTTTTTTTTTAATGAATCTTACGTATTGAGTCCCGACGGGACCTCGAATACTAACCGGGCGTTTGGGCGCCGTGTTTGCGGCTAGACCAGCGGGTGGGAGCTTGAGGAGCTGGACGGAATCTCACCCGGGTGAGTGGTACGCGTAGCGAATGACCTCGCCTACGCCGGTGTCGACCGATCGCGTTGCGACGAGTAAATCGACGGCTTTGGTTAAGTCGTCGTCGAGGTCGGTCTTATCCAGCGTACTGACAGGAACGGTGTAGTTGGCGGTCCGGGCCATCACTGGGTTCGAATGCGACGCGGCTTTTTTAAAGAAACTTTCGGACGTTTCCTTGAAGTACCGACTGAGGGTCGGCAATTCGAGATCGGCGTGAAGATTTGCATTCCGCACGCACCAGATGGCTCCAGTAGCGGTTCGAGTGAACCGATTCTGAAGCACCTGGAGCCTGTGGAGTGTGCTAGGGGCGGCGTGGGCGAACGCGACGCTATAGTAGGCGAGGATCGGTCGAATACACGTTTTGTAGAGCGTGACTTTGTTTCTGAGGGACAGTTTGCTACGCGCGCAAATCATGGGGTATAACCTACTCATAACGAAGCAGGCTTTACAGCGGACTCGATTAATATGTTCGCGAAAGGTTAACTGTTTATCAAGCGTGACGCCTAGATATTTAATAGATTTTTGCCACGGAATGTCTTCGCCGTAGGGCTTGACATTGGCGGGACGTCTGGACGGTTTACTACGAGAGCTGAGGGTAAAGAAAATTGCCGCACTCTTATCGGGGTTGAGTTATAACTTAGAGATAATAATATACATACAAAACTTAATTGTATGAGTAATATAATTAAGTTTTGTATGTATTATATTTGGCCTGAGGAAGTTTGACCATGTTAGTTCTTTTCGTCAACAGCTTGGCTGGCTACCGATTCGACTCCGACGTAATGCTCATATTCTTCACCTTTTATACTCCATTCTATTTAATCCTAAAACCCCATCTTACCTTAAAACTGAATTTAAATTCTTATGTTCCTCTAGCTATAGTCTACGCTCTTCAGATAGACTTATCCTTGAAGTCCCTTCGCACAGCACTTCCTTCCTTAGCAAATCTTTCAAGGTCACAGCAGTACGCTTATGGAATCTGCTTCCGATTTCCGTTCGTTTAGCTCCCTCACTCTCATCCTTTAAACACCTTCTTTACAAACATTTTACACTTTACAACTCTCAAACTTAACGTTTATAATATTATTATTATTGTAATAAGTAAAATTATTTAGATTTTAAGTTTCGCACTTCCTGCACGTTCCCCTAATTAAGTTGTTTTACATTATTTTCCTAAGAAGGGTCGCCTGGAAGAGATCGCTTAATAGCGATAAGGCCGCCCGTTACACTTCATACTTTATAGATAATATTATTATTTTTAGTTCATTGTGATTGTGTGCGTGTGTTGTGTAAAAAGTATAAATAAATAAAAATAAAATAAAATAATTACAATTCAACCAATATTAAGTATTCAATAACCCATAGAATTCATAGACGTTATTATTACTATCATTTAATTTTAATTAATATAATCTGTCAGCATTAGTACAATACAAAGCTTCCCAAACTATTCGCTGTTCATTTGTAAACCTGATGCTCAAGATACGATTTGTAAGCCAAGACCATGTTTGGGACACACTGACCTACCGTAAATCATTATTTATTAGTTAAATTTATAAGACGAGTTCAATAATCATTATAATTCAACTGAAAGAGACAACAATAATATTATGTTAAAGAAAGTCGTGCGATAAATAAAACTGTTAAATAAAGTACTTAAGAAATTAAAAAAAGAACATTTCCGGATGCTTAGTTATCAATTTAATCTGTCTCGGTTGAAACTTCACTCGCGTGCGCACGTAATACAGAAAATCGTTTGTATGTTTTCCTTGTAACAACTTTTACTGCATAAAAATCCGACGTTTTATAATTTAAGTCCTGATAATAGAAACGTAGGTTTCAGTCTGTGGATTTCCGAATATCCAAAGCCAAAATGGGTGAATAGCGCATCATTTTTACATGTTATTTGGCTAAGATGTGTAACCTACCATCAACCTCATGCTTGCCTAGCTGTTATAAAAAATGCTTCAATTTGACTCTTCTGGGAGACATCGTAGCTACCCGTATGCCTCGAACATCGTCCCGATCCGTCTTAGTTACCGTCAGAGCCGACGTTTCCCAAATGGACGCCCAGTACAGATTCTGTAGTGTAACCACATATGGGATGCTTTTAACAGATCATCCGAAGATAACGGATTGAGCTTAGATCAGATTAGGAATGTTACCAGCATATTTCTTTTTTAATATATTTCCCAGAATAGCATCTGAACATGTTTCGCTGTTGACCTATTTTGGGTTTGGGTTCTCGGAAACCCACAGACTAAATCGATAATACGGCTTATTCATCTGTGGTCGGTGTTTCGTGACCCGGACGGAATTTTGATATTCCTGCCACCTCTAACGGTGTAAAACTCAAACTATATATTAGTGCTAAGGATCCAAAACGTTGGGTCTAATATTTTTCGCGTTTTAAACCGGTAAGACTGTTTTAATAAAATGTAAAATGTTTTTTTTTTCACGGTCTAGTAGTCGTGGGTTCGAACCCACGACTACTAGACCTACCAATTCAAAGCCACGACTACTTCACGACACGACGAAATTCGTAGCTTAATAGCTAAACGTGTTGCTTGGCATTGCGTTAAGTTGAGAGGGCCTGATTTCGGAGACTTGTGAAACAAATTAAATTTTTGGTCGGGTGGAGCACAGAAATCTCATCAAATAGTATAACCAAAAATTGTTCAGTACAACAACATACATGTGTTCCTCCATGCCCCATTTGGGGGAAGTGTACCGTGGACAGGTTATATAAAAAGTGTCTATGATAGTGAACATAGAGATTTTTATATGATAGAAAAAGACAGACAAACATTAGGGTTACCGTATAGAAGTGTCAAAGCCAAACAACATGAGAACTATCAGCGCTATGGACCTATTTTGGCATAAAATATATATAGATATATATATATATATATACAATCGTCCGTCGAGACCGTCAAAATAGCATGGTGGTAGTATAGTAAAGTCCAATATAATGCAAGAACGAATTAAATGAATCATTCCGCCCACACATGTGGTTGTAAACACCTGTATTATTTGAAATGAAAATCTATTTACCGTGAACGAATAATTGTATGGTACAAGTCAAAGGAGAAAGAATTTTAACTAGATTATATCGACATAGGAAAACGTATTTGCTGTAAACCTCAAAAAAAACTAAATTACGTTTTTTACATAATTCTTATCAGAAAAAAACTGCGTCGATTGGTCTGGTTCTCATATTTCTACGACGAAAAAAAAATCACTTACGCCGTCAGGTTTTTGAAATATTAGTGTTTTAAGTACCAAAACCTAGTATTTTTTTTTGCATTTTTTGCTTACGCGATTTTTGCAATTAGAAAATTTTTCAAACAGAGCCGCCAGTTTAGCTGGGTGACATTTTTTCATTGCCTACTTTTACGTTTTTTATATCTGACTTAATTTACTCGATTTTATTTGTTTGATATTATCGACTATGTTATTCACTATAAGAACATGTTTTAATAAAAGAAGCAATGTTTAAGTTTTCAAAGTCTTCCGTCCAACAGGTTCCATCCGTAAAACAGGTTCCTACTCTATTCAGTAAATATCAATGCAAGACAATTTTTCAAGACAGCTTACGCCTATTTTAACTATACCTAAAAAATAAGTACATCTCTTTTACAAAAAATTTATAGATCTAAAAGTAATATAAATATTTAGTTGCCATAGAAATTTCCCTAAGGTTACAGCGTTTCTGGGAGCAAAACTTCAGGATGGCACGTTGTCCTAGTTCGATCTTGAGCTGTAGAAATAATAATTTAAAACTGTTTTTACTGATGGTACACATTGTGATCCCGGATTTAAATCTCGGAGAACTAATTAATTATATCGGTCATGATAGGCAATGTAATCAACTATTACTTATGCTGACACTCTCCCGACATCACACCT